GAGGAGTAACTTTAGATTAAGCCACTAGAGTCATGCAACGGTTAACCTCCTTCGTTGTAAGTCAAGGTAAATGTGACATATGGTGAACATACCAAATTGAGTCCACATTGAGGTACTCTATAGGCTCCAGGTTCTCATCCAGGTACACATCTGTTGTCAATGAAACATCTGTGTCATGTGCTGAGCTGAAGTTGGTCACGGTTCGGGTGGGAATGCCTAAACACCGTAAAACTGAAAAGAAGACAATGGGTTTAATATCGTATCATTTTGATCAAATAAACATATTGTAAGCTGAAAAAAGTCTAACCTGTAGTGACAACACCAGCAAAGACCCAGCATTGGCCATATTTAACAGGAGTTCCATTCTTTTTGTGGTATTCCTCGAGGATTTCTACACTTCCACTCCACACTGTTGGAGAAGTTCCATTTGAATAATCTCCTGACCAGTTTCCCTCCAAAACACCTTGGTCATCAGGGGAGTTTACCTGAGAAATAAAGGAAGTGTTTCATGCTTTCATGGTTGACTTTAAGGACAATACCCAAAATACCTTAAGTTAGCTAGTTTTTTTGTTTATTAATTCAAATCTAGACATTTGTTTTTTGCATTTAATCCATAGCAGGTGTAAGCAGAAGTGTGCAGCCACCATTTGGCCACTTGGTATCCACTCCAGCTTTCAGCCACTGCCTGCGTTTAGGGGACTATGATATGGCATATGCGGTTTAACATATTTTACTGTTTGTTATATGTCCGGTGATGTCTTAGTTAGTTAGGATCTCGTCTCACCATTCCTGAGATGATTCGCACCACATTAATTGGGTCACCCCACCCAGATGGAGAAGTTCCACTCTTTTCCATGACAAAGAGGCAAGCAGCCAGAATCCCATCATTAAACTGATATCAAATGAAAGGAAAACATGAGGAGACCATGTCAGTTTCAACCGCTAAGCTTGGTCATTAAACATTAAGACTCAGAGCTCCCTCACCTGTCCGTAGTTCCATGTCCTCGCTCCAATTTGATCCTTTGTGCCATAGTAGATTTGTCCAGTGTCATTTAGGATGTACTCTTGCCTTTCATCTTCAGAATCCATGTACACAATGTCATCTGACAGAAAATAGGAAAGGCAACATTTTTAACTGGAAATAACACAAGGTCACTCTGAAGCATGGACTCTACAAGTAGGCGTTATCTTCTAAATTTGGTTTCTTCTCTATCACAGTTTCATGGTATTTTTACCACCCTAAATGTCTTTTATTAAACTGTCTGAGTCATTCTTGAAGGCTGTCTGTGGAGATTGATTTTGAACTGATGACAAGGGTATATCCATACTGTGCTTGTTGTATAAGAGCACCTCCTACACATATATTTGGAAACAATGGCATACGTCTGTTGTAGTCTGGTGACGCTTGTAATTTTTGTATGGGACTTTTGAGAGGTTCAGTAGTTGTCATTTTAGGGGCTGTCACTGCTTTGTATAGGGCATTATTTCAGAGAAATAGTGTGGTATTTTTGGAAAGACAGACTCACTACAACATAAGAAGATGAAGCTGAACAGAAGGAGGGAGATGCTGGCAAGAAAAATACCCTTGCTAGCAGCATAACCTGAACATGTTATATTTAGTGATAACTGTGGGAAGATACTGCTATTTAGCACAAAAGATAGTAGCACCATAAGTGACCAGCCTACCACAAACAACAACACTGCAAACAAAAATTAACCCTTTAAAGCCTAAACAAAAACAAATTTGTTTAAAAAAAAATAACATTTTAATTTCCATATATGATTTTTATTTTGTATTGTATTTGATACATCTGGCTTTTTTTTTTTCTTGTTGTGTAACTTCCTTAGATTTTTCACGGGGAAAAAAGTCACACTGATGATTTTGAAGTCACAAAAAACTCACAAGAAACTGTATGTATCAAATATGATCCACTAGGTCAGCGGTCCCCAACCCCCAGGCCTCGGACCGGTACCGGTCCGTGAGTCGTTTGGTATCGGGTCGCGAGAGTTGAGGCTCAGGTCTGAAATGTATGGTTTTCAGGGTTTTTATCGGTTTTCAGCATTATTTTGTTATTGTTTTTATCGTTAACTCGGTTTTCCTGAGTCTTTTCACGTGTGTTATGAATAAATCTTTTATTTTTCAGTAGCGCTACTAGGTTTATTTTGTTGTATTTATCCGCGACACCTTAAAGGCCGGTCCGTGAAAATATTGTCAGGCATAAACCGGTCCGTGGCGCCAAAAAAGGTTGGGGACCGCTGCACTAGGTGATTTAATATTTTTTTTATTTGTCATTCTCAATATGAGAATTTGATTTTCTTATTTAACACTATGCCAGAGGACTTTATTCCAAAAAACTCCAAGTATGCAATTCAAATTCTGTATTAAATTTACACAATAACCTACACAATAGCCTGACTTGGCCCAACCTAGAAATGTAACTGCATATCACCATCACCACAACCCACACAGGTATAAATACTGGTAGTAGGGTTGGCCACTTGCATAGGCTGCATTATAGGCTCTGCATAGATTCATTCCAGAAGTATAAATTAACCATAAGATGTCCATATTTACCTTGACACCAGGGGTTAAACAATATGTAGATGTCATTGGCAGGGTCATGTGTGGAACTTGCCGATCCATTTTGATTATTTG